AGACGAATGGAAGAAGAACGTCAGTCACAAGGTCTTGAGACAAAACCCATGTCATGTACGATCGCTGCAAACATTGCTTTAAAGTGGCCAAAAAGCATGGTCTTTTCAAGTTGGCTTCAAAGTTTTATAAACAATTTCTGACAGCCGTCCATGCTGTTGGCGTTGTGAAAAATGAGAGATCATTCAGTTTACTGAAGATTGTAAAAAGTTGTTCACGCAATAACATATCTGGAAAACGTTTGAATGATTGCATGATCCTTACCGCTGAAAAGAATATCACTGATGTCTTTCATGTTACTGCGATCGCAAAAAAATGGTCAATCTTGGAAAACCACCGATCGGCGATTGCTTGAAAACAATAACTTACTATTGAAGGTTAAAAACATTAGTTAACAAATACCTACTATGTAACATTATTGTTCATTGTTTGTGTGATGTTACTCTGAGTGTATATCCACACCGGGCAGGCTTGAAAAATATACCTGGCCACGGCGGGATTCGAACCTACGACCTTTGGAATACTAGCCCAATGCTCTTCCAACTGAGCTACGCGGTCAGGACGGTTCGAGTAAGCGATATTTCGGAACTGAGTCTAGTTCCTTCGATATCAGTGTAATCTAATATTTATGAAATCTGCTGTGTTGGTGTAATGCACTCAGGTGAATAAGATGTTTGTGTGATGTTACTCTGAGTGTATATCCACACCGGGCAGGCCCGAAAAATATGCCTGGCCACGGCGGGATTCGAACCTACGACCTTTGGAATACTAGCCCAATGCTCTTCCAACTGAGCTACGCGGTCAGGACGTCGACGGTTCGAGTAAGCGATATTTCGGAACTGAGTCTAGTTCCTTCGATATCAGTGTAATCTAATATTTGTGAAATCTGCTGTGTTGGTGTAATGTACTCAGGTGAATAAGATTTTTGTGTGATGTTACTCGCGTAGCTCAGTTGGAAGAGCATTGGGCTAGTATTCTATAGGAATTTTTTCTACAGGAATTCCTATAAGAATTTAATAGGAAGAATTCCTATAAGAATTCTCAAGTCTAGTCCCAAATTATTATAGGAATTTCCTATAAGAAAATAATTTATTCTAATTTCCTATAAGATTTTTGGTATTCCTGCAGAAATTCTAGAATCTAGGTGAAATAATAGTAAATGACAGACAATGTTGTTCATCACTCTTAATTTTTTAATGCAAAAAATAGATATAAATGTTAATTAATAAATACTAATTAATATTGCAAATATAAAAATTAACATGAGAAATTGGTTATACTAAACATTACAAATCAATTATAGTTTTCACCTATTGTGACAAATTAATCGTTCTACCTCAATGCAATGCCATATGATGCGTCCTACTTTATTATTTTACTCTGTCTAACTATTTTACTTTGTCTAATGCCAGACTATTTTACTCTGTCTAACTCCAGACAATTGTACTTGAATGTCAAGGGGAAATGCTGGCTCTGAATGGGTTAACTAGCCTATATTCCTATATATGTGTCTAGTTAACCCATTGAATCACATTGCGCCCTACTTTATTTTACTATAGTTTACTCTGTCTAACGCCAGACGATTTTACTCGTCAGAGCGCTGGCGCTTAATGGTCTAAACCATAGGTAATAACCATAATTGACATTTAAAGTTAAGTTTAAAACTGGCCTCAAAACATAGTCCTCAAATAAGTTCTTGTTCTTGTTTGCTTTTCTGTACTTTGCAACACTTCCCCATGTTGTTTATATTTGTCCTCATATGTTGACAAACCTCTGTGGCCTTACATCCATACTTTGTTGATAGCTGTAAAAAGACAAATACATTTATTTTATGTCTACCATCCCAATGTGTTTTGTTAACCCATTAAATATGCCCAAATGCACCCAATTTATTATTTTACTCTAAGTGGAGAGTCTAGCACTTTAATAGAATAAACACAGTAAAATAACAAAGTACTAAAAGTAGGGCACATTGCTTCTAAATATGCCACACAGCAGCTTTTGCAGTTAATTATTAACCTTTCAATGACCAACATTCATTTTGATGAGTAAAATCATCTGATAAATATCAAAGTACTGAAAGTGGGGATTGAGTGTTAGGGTGAATTGCATCTAAATGTGCTAACGCCAAATAATGCAAAATAGTCTGGTATTAACAGGGCAAAATATTGAGCTTTGAAATAGAGCGCATTAGTGTGAATCAGTGGCGTGCTGGCAGGGGGGGCCGGGGGGCCACGGCCCCCCCTGCTGGCAATTCTTACAGGGCGCAAAAATGAAAAGGGGGCGCCGATCCCGCGCCGAGTTTTGAAAGTGGGTTGGAAAAAACGCATTCGAAAAAATATATTTACTTCCTTCGAGAAAAGATGTGTTTATAGGCTTATAAAACAGACTAAGCGCATAGGCGACAAAGTGATATATTAAATTATACAGACTATATTTGCTAATTTGCTACCTCACGACACACACGAAATCGTTCATATAGAAACATGAACTGTGATCACACGCAATGTCTCATCACCGGAATATTGGTCAGGTTTCGAAGCGATCACGGGAATTATGCCCTTTTTTGCTGGTATTATGCCCTTTATTATGCTTCACTGCCCTTTATTACGAATCACAAAAGCGGCGCAAATTAGATAGTTTAAGTTATGATATTAATGTAAAGTTGTGTACGCAATTTAGTTGTTTGCGCTAGAAACATCATGAGTAATGTGAGTAATGAAATAATGCTGAAACGCGCTCTTTTGGCAGCCAGGCAGGGAAACCTTAAAATGCATATGCGTGGGGTCCGTGTGTTATTGTATAAAAGAGCTGTATGTTGTAATTGTATTCAGATCACTAGATCAGTAAAGAATAGAATTGGGATTAGATTATAATTAATCGCTGGAAGTTGTTAGCATTGCATAATATAAGTACTACTACTACTAAATTCAAACCAAATTACAAATTTCGACACGTTTTAATGCCGTTTCCTGACCATCAGATTTCTGTCAAATTTTCCCCCAAAGTCCAGGAAATGTCATTTCAGAGACTCTAAATTCAAAAATTTTCCAGGGGAGCATGCCCCCGGACCCCCCTAGACAAACCTCGCATCTGCGGCGCTCGGCTCGTGCCTTCGGCCCTCGTTTATCAAGCGAAACATAGGGGCGCATATTTGTTGACAGCCCACTGGCCCCCCAGAAAAATAGTACCCAGCACGCCACTGGTGTGAATTTGTGAATTGGGTCTTAATGAGTTTACACAAAACACAGGGAGACAGCAAGGTAACCTATCAAAGTTGTCCACTCTCTTTCAAGTAAAATGATCTGGTGTTAGACAAGGTAAAATAAAAAAGTACTGAAAGTTGAGCACATTCATCTTAACAAGTTAGCATGAAATGTAAGCTAGCAGAGAGTCTGGTTAATTTGAATACCATCACATAGTTACTGTATGTTTATAAACTGTGGTTTAATTAATAGAAAAACATCGATAATTTTCCTGGCATTACACTAAAGCATGTCTAAAGGCTAACAGATTTTAATACATTGACTGGTGCAAGACCTCTCAAAATGAAAATTGTTTAATTTAAACAAAACATATGAATAAATACTACTTCTGATTTAAGCAAGTAGTTAAATTTTCTATAGGCATGCATTAAATATGCCTGACAATTTACCATTAATCTGGCATATACAGTTGGCACTTGGGATATACAAATATATTAATAAACATGGATAAGTCTGATTCAAATATAAGACTTTTATAGTAGCATTTGTTGAAGTATAAATGCTATAAATATATTTATATCAGTATTCTAATTCCATTTATATTGTCGCGGCAAATTCAAATTTTATCGAACCACATGCTCGAATTTCACAAATGAAGATTGGAGGTATTTCCTCTATAATTTGCTTTATTATAAATAAAATATAAACTTATTCTTACCTGAACATTATGCAAACCTCCCTGATCTATTACTAGTGAAAATCCAGTTGAATCCCATCAAAAATAGTTCTATTTTGCACATAAACCATTGACAAACACTGACTTGAAAAAATATCGGAGGTGTGATGATCTATCCCTTGATGCTTTGCGCGCGTGGCAAGAAAACTAGACACCAGTCTGTCAGTTGCGTACATTGCGCTAATTATTCATTTAATCTTAGAAAATAAATAGTCCCAGTATTAAATTCTCTATTAATAAATGTCTATGAGTAAAATACGATATAGGAATAGTGTAGTTGTATAAGGAATTAAAATTCCTATAAGAATTCTTATAGGATATGATAATGGTGAAAAAATTCCTATAAGAAATAGAAATTCCTGTAGGAAGGAGTTATTTCGTAAATTATATTTATCTGTATAATTTTTTATATAAGTAAAGTTCTTATACTCATGCATGTATCAGGCCATAGTGGTATAGGCTATGAATTTTCCCCACCATTTTCCAATCCTATAAGAATTCCTATAGGAATTTTTATTTCCTATAGGATTTTTTTTCACCATTTTCAAATCCTATAGGAATTTTCATTTCCTATAGGAATTCCTATAGCCATTTTCCAATCCTATAGGAATTCCTACAGGAATATTTTTTCCTATAGGAATTTTTTCACCATTTTCAATTCCTATAGGAATTCCTATAGGAATTTTCAATGCCAATAGGAATTCCTATATAGGAAATTTCAATTCCTATAGGAATTCCTATAGGAATTTTCAATGCCTATAGGAATTCCTATAGGAAATTTTAATTCCTATAGGAATTCCTATAGGAATTTTCAATGCCTATAGGAATTCCTATAGGAAATTTCAATTCCTATAGGAATTCCTATAGGAATTTTTTTGACCATTTTCAATTCCTATAGGAATTCCTATAGGAATTTTTAATTCCTATAGGAATTCCTATAGGAATTTTCAATTCCTATAGGAATTCCTATAGGAATTTTGATTTCCTATAGGAATTCCTATAGGAAATTTTCGTAAGGGTTAAGACATTATTTTTTGGGAAAAAAAGATGAAGAAAGGTCGATTTGAACTGATCTTGTAGAGGGCCGATTAGGCTCCAATGAAGGGAACGAAAAATTTTAACCCCCTCCCCCACTCCCCTACTACTATTTATGTTTAATTTTATACATGAAGATTGCTTTAAATTGCAACTGAGTATTATATAACGTGATCATAGTAGCCTTCGTTAAGAGCTCTGCGTAAGAGGAACCCCAGTCGCAAAAACTGCTCTTAGCCCTCTTTCATTAGTTCCCTCTAGTTTATTCTTATCACTTCCCTTACAAAAATGCCAGGCAAGACTACAGTAATTGAAGTATATGGCATAATAGCATGACGAGCTAGACAGCTCCAGATTGGCAGCTCCAGATTGGCGAATCTGGAACCAGCTCCAGATACAATTTTAATCTGGAGCTAGAACGACTAGTTTGTAGACAAAGTGCTTTGGCCGCTTAACCAGCGATGTAAATTGAATTTCTTTGAAAGATAATTTTATCTTGTCACATTCCTTAGTACGAGATAGAAAATGAAAACATTATTCCGTTCCGTTCGTCCATGGTAGCTTGTGAAAGATCACTGCTTTTT